TCATTATCAATTAATTAATTAATTAATTAGGTACGCGATGATCGCCCTGTACATCGGCGCCGACTCCTTCACGTCGCAGTGGCAGACAAAGGTGTACAAGGCGCGGGCAGCCGTACAACCAGCCCCGACAGCGGCAGTCCTCCCAGCAGCAGGGATGAGAGAGGCCTCCTCCAACAGACCGCACCAGGGCCCGCACTACCCAGCCCCAACGAAGAAACCAGCAGGCAAGATAAGAATGAGGATGCGAATGAGACTCCCTCCAGGCGCACCCGGGCGTGGACCAGTTCCAGATGATGTTTGGAGTGAACACCTGGTCCATCCTCTTCACGCTTGCAGCGCTGCTCGCCTCCGGTGAGAGATAGCCGGGAGGCCGCAGAGAGGGGGAGAGATAGCCGGGAGGCCGCAGAGAGGGAGAGAGATAGCCGAGAGGCAGCCGAGAGGGAGAGAGATAGCCGGGAGGCCGCAGAGAGGGGGAGAGATAGCCGGGAGGCCGCAGAGAGGGAGAGAGATAGCCGGGAGGCCGCAGAGAGGGAGGGAGATAGCCGAGAGGCAGCCGAGAGGCAGCCGAGAGGCAGCTAGCCGCGGGTGGCTGGCCCTCGAAGCTGGTCGGTGGCCACCAGTCAAGAAAGAGCTACTCTCACTAATTAACATCAGGCGGGCTGTGTGCCATGATTAATTAATCAATTAATGAATTACCAGGCGAGCTGTGGACCACGATCGCCTTTCTGAAGCTCAACCCTGCCGCCTTTATGGACAACGTCACCATCGCCATCACCTCCGCCACCGGCCAGCTCTTCATCTTTTACACATCAAGCGCTTCGGCCCCTGTTAATTAATCAATTAATTAATTAACAGGCCAGCTCTTCATCTTTTACACAATCAAGCGCTTCGGCCCCGTCGCCTTCACGATCATCATGACCACGCGCCAGATCTTCTCCATGGCGCGCCCGCTGGCTGCCCCGCCCGACTACCCTCTGGTCCCCGCCCCTCCACACCACGCCCCACCACCCACCCGCACCACCACCCTTCCGCCCACAAGTTGGAAGCACCCACGCCCCGCACCCGCACCGCGCCCCGCACCCCAGGTCATCTCAAACTTCGCATTTGGCCACTCGCTGGGCATCAGCGGGTGGGCCGCCGCCAGCGTCGTCTTTGCGACGCTCTTCTACCGCGTCTACAGGTCCCAATTAATGATTAATGTAGAGAAGTAGTCATGATTTAACAATAGCTCTTCTGCCGCGTCTACAGGCCTTGAACGGTAGATGCCACCAACGACCATGAATCACTGTTGGTGAAGGTCGTGTGAGCTGACCCCCCCCCCCTCCCCCTCCCCCTTCCCCGCCTACAGAAGCGCAAAGTCGCGGAAAGGCTGAGCCCGGCTCGGCCGAGTGGCGCGGCCCCCTTCTATGCCGCGCCCGCTGC